TCAATAGTTACCACAAAAATAGAATACTTGGGTATAAATCTCACTAGGAATGCAAAAGACCTGTACAAAGAAAACTATAAAAGACTACTTCCAGAAACCGTAAGAGATCTACATAAATAGAAGAAGATACCATGCTCATGGATAGGAAGATTGAACATTGTGAAAATGTCAATACTAACCAAAACAATCTATATATTCAATGCATTCCCAATCCAGATCCCATCAACATTCTTTAAGGATATGGAAAAAACAATCACTAATTTTATATGAAAAGGAAAGACACCTCAGATAAGTGAAGCACTACTGAAGAAGAAGAACAAAGTAGGAGGTCTCACACTCCTCGATCTCAAAATCTACTATACAGCCACAGTAGTCAAAACAGCCTGGTATTGATACAACAACAGACACATAGACCAGAGGACCAGAGTTGAGAAGCCAGAAACAGATCCATTGACCTTTGGTCAACTGATTTTTGAAAAGGGCTAAAATCCATTACATGGGGGAAGAGATGGTCTCTTTAACAAATGGTGCTGGCAGAACTGGATATCCATTGGCAGAAAAATGAAACAAGATCCATACCTCACACCATACACAAAAACTAACTCCAGATGGATCAAAGACTTAAATGTGAAACCTAAAACTATAAAGTTCCTCAAGGAAAAAATAGGGGAAAATTTAGGGGCTTTTATTTATGGCATAAATTAACTGTCAAGCATAACCCAAAATGCACAAATAGCAGGATATAAACTAGATGAATGGGATCTTCTAAAAATTAAACTTTATGCTTCAAAAGACTTCTCCAAAAGAGTCAAAAGAGAAAAAATATTCAGCCACGACATACCTAACAAAGGACTTATCTCTAAAATTTATAGAAAACTCCAACCTCAACAACAAAAGGACAAACAATCCAACTCAAAAATGAGCAGAAGACTACTCATGTCATGACACTTCACCAAAGAGTATATTCAGGTGGCCAAACAAACACATGAAGAAATGTTCCCAATCATTAGCCATTAGAGAGATGTAGATCAAAACAACAGGGAGACACCATCTTGCCCCAGCACTAAGAGCAAAGTTCAACCATACAGAAAATAACAAATGCTGGGAAAGATGTGGAGAGATTGCGACTCTCACACACTGCTGGTGGGACTGAAAAGTGACACAACCACTGTGGGAAGCAGTCTGGCAATTCCTTAAAAAATGGGAATAAGAAATATCATTTGATCCAGCAATCCCATTACTAGGTATATATCCTAAAGAAGTAAGAGCCAGGAAAAGAACAGATATATGCACACTCATGTTCATCGCAGCACTGTTTACAATAGCAAAAAGATGGAAGAAACCTATGTGCGCATCATCTGAAGAATGGATAATCACTATGGTGCGTACACATAATGGAATATTATGCAACAGTAAAGAATAATGTAGAATCTGCAAAACACCACATAACATGGATGATTACGCTGAATGAAATAAGCCAATCACAGAAAGACAAATATTGTATTAGTTCATTACTGTAAAAAGTCAAGAAAGTTTTATATATGGAAAAAAACTTTCTTTGTTAGTTACCAGGGGTGGGAAAAATAACTGCAAAAATAATTTAAAAATAAAAAAAAAATAAAAGTGTTACAGAGATATATGCTGAGGAGGACAGCCATGGGACAATGGAAGCAGAGGAACCTATAAGCCCAGGAATGTGAAGGATGGCTGGCAGCTGCTAGAAGCCAGGAGAGAGGCATGGAACAGTTCCTATCTCAGAGCCTCAAAAGGAATCAACATAGCCTATACTTGATTTGGACTTCCAGCCTCTAGAATTGTGAGACAATAAATGTCTGTGCCTTGAGCCACCCAGTTAGGTATTTTTGTTGCAGCAGCATTAGGAAACAAAGACATTTGGTATCTGCTATCAAAATAAATACTGAACAAATTCATTCACCAAAAGGCTAGTAGTGGTTAACTTTCAGTTATTTCTTTATTAGTTCATATTTTCTACAATATAACATATTACTTTTTCAATAATAAAAAAAATAACTGAAATGTTTAAAAAAAAGACTATGCAAAGGCATCTGACTACATGGATCATAATAAATTTTGAATAACATTTCAAAGAATAGGAATTGTAGAACACTTAATTGTGTTCATGAGGAACTTGTACATAGACGATGAGGCAGTTGTTCAAACAGAACAAGGGAATACTGTGTGGTTTAAAATCAAGAAAAGTGTCCATCAGGGATGTATCTTCTTGCTATATTAATTAAATATGTATACTGAGCAAATAATCCAAGAAACTGGGCTGTATGAGAAGAACACAGCATCAGGATTGGAGGGAGACTCATTAGCAACCTGCAATATGCAGATAACACAACTTTCCCTGTTGAAAGTGAAGACTTACAGCACTTACTGATGAAGATCAAACACTACAGTCTTCAGTATGGATTACGCTGCACCATAAAGGAGACAAAAATCCTTCCAACAGGATCAATAAGCAATATCATGATAAAGGGAGAAAAGATTGAAGTTTTTAAGGATTTTATTTTACTTGGATCCACAAGCAACACCCATGATAGCAGCAGTCAAGAAATCAAACTATGTATTCCATTGGACAAATCTGTTGCAAAAGACCTCTTTAAAGTTTTTAAGACCAAAGACGTCACTTTGAAGACTAAGGTATGCCTAAACCAAGCCATGTAATTTTCAATAGCCTCATATGCATGTGAGAGCTGGATAATGAGTAAGGAAGACTGCAGAAGAACTGATACATTTGAACTGTAGTGTTGGTGAAGAATACTGAATGCACCATTGACTGCTAGAAGAATGAACAAATCTATCTTGGGGAAAATACAACCAGAATGCCCCTTAGATACTGGGGTATTCTGTAAAAAGTCAAGGAAAGAAAGCAAGCAAGAAAGGCCAGACTTTGTCTCTTATACTTTGGTCATGTTGTCAGAGAGACCAATCCCTGGAGAAGGATACCATGCATGGTAGAGGGTCAGCAAAAATAAAAAATAAAAAATAAATCCATCTTCAGTGAGATGGATTGACATAGAGGCTGCAACACTGGGCTTAAGCATAGCAACAATTATGAGCATGGCTCAGGGGTGGGCCATGTTTCATTCTGTTGTACATAGAGTCTCTATGAGTCAGAAGCAACTCAACGGCGCCTAACAACATTAACAGCATTAGGGTGGGGTATTTATCCATTCAGGGTGAAAATCAAACACTTATCTTACTTTTATTACATTCTTCATTAAGAGTAAGCAGCAGCTATATTTTTCTTAAATAAAAATTGACTTCAAGCAATAGAGCCTTCTGAAAACAAAGATCAGAATGTTTATGGTTAATATACAGGTTCCTTGCAGACAAGAACCAGGTTTCTCAGGGCTTTCTCCTGTGTTACCAGTCACTATGCCAGCAGTACAAGTGTAATTGTTTGTGAACCGATTAAATGGTTAGTTAACTGATTAAGTTTAAAGGGAGGAATAACATGAGGATATCATAAAGGTGTGTCACAGAAGCCCTTAGTAGAAAATCCAAACCAGGACACTGACTTTGCTCCCTTGTAAACAGTCAGAGCTGTGATTTTATCATATGCTGTCCATTTAAATTCTGAAGGTGTAAATGCTGAGGAAAGGAGTGGGGGACACCAAGTAAGTCCAGATATGGGGAATGGCATCATTAAGGGCAGACTTAAGGCACCCCATCAGGAAATACAGTCACTAGGCAGTAAGATAATTTCAAAGGAATGTGGTGGATTGAACTGTATTTGCTTCTGCTGCCTAGACACTTTTGTCACCTTGGTATCCTTTCTTCGGCATGGCCTGGATGCCAAACAAGTATATATGTAGCCAATGAAGTACTGCCCTTAGCAAATATTTTTTTTGGATGGATGGATGAACAAACAAAGCAATTAACAGTCGCTATTTTTCTCTACGCACTCTAAAATCAGCCACTGAGAATTCATATTCTACTTGCAAAGAATATTTGGTAAAGTTGTTCCCAGTTGATTTCTCTCCACTGCACATAAATGTTGCCTTATTCACCAGAGAGTCACAACATACTAATAAAATTTGGGCAGTGGTAATCTTCCCACTTTTCTTTACCACACCAAGGCAATTAAAATAATTAATAGCAACTAGAATCTGTTGATTTAAAAGTAAATTACCACAATTGGGGATCTGCAGGTTTGCCAGGGGAATATTCTTGCTGCTTTCATTTAGGCAGTACAAATCCTGAGTTTCTGGACTGGATTTAGCCTGCTGGAGAGTCTTGATCCACATAATGTCACAGGAGCAGGTAAATGGATTGCCCACCAAAATCCTACATGGAACAAAAATGAAATTCGATCAGTACCTTTTCTTCGTTCAAACTACACTCATGTTTATGAAATACCCCAACATTGTAAATTCTTTCAAAGTGCTAATTCCTTGGAAATCATACTCACTTTCATAGCACAACAGTACTTATTATCTACTCATTTATCTAATGCACACTGAGTTTCTCTTATGTACAAAAACCATTGTTCAAGCTAAAGGATGCAAAGTTATGTACAAATTTACAGAATACCACGGAAAACTAGATAGGAACATAAATAGCTGTTGTTGTTGTTGTTGTTATGTGCCCTCGAGTCGGACCCGACTCATAGCAAGCCCTCCTTGGATTTCCGAGGCAGTATCACTATGGAAGTAGATTGCCCCATCTTCCTTCTGAGGAGTTGCTGGTGGGTTTGAACTGCCAGCCTTCTGGTTAGCAGTCAAGTGCCTTAGCCACTAAATAGCTGTAGTAAAGGATTTTTAAAAGAGAAAAAACAGTTGCTGTTGAGTCGATTCCAACTCACGGCAATGACGCATGTGTCAGAATAGAACTGTGCTCCACAGGTTGCTCAGTGGCAGATTTTTCAGAAGTAGATCACCTGGCTTTTCTTCTGAGGCACCTCTGGGTGGATTCAAACTGGCAATCTTCTGGTTAATAGAGTGCTTAACCATTTGCACCACCCAGGGACCCCAGGATGGACAGATGTCTCATAACACAGGGAAAAACAGGTGCCACTGAAACCTAGTAAAGTAAAAACTATTTCCCCCACCCTGGCACCTGGATGAGAATAAATAAGTAAACATGTGTAAACTAAATTACCCCCAACTATTTTCCCACCGTGGGCAGATGACTATTGAGTTCCTTAAAGAACTGAATGGAAAACATTTCTTCCTCCAGAAGATAGACTTGCTAAGTTTTTTAGAAATAACTTGTAAATGAACTCTGGCCCATGGGCAGAAGGGAAATATTTTAGAAACAACTTGTAAATGAACTCTGGCCCACCAACATAAAGGAAAAAAAGTTAATTGCTGACCCTCTCCCCTCTGCCCAAGCCCCTATCAGCTGATAACAAGAAACTAGTGACCACTCATCTGTCACCCATTTCACCTTCACACCCCAAATTCCTCAACCTTTTGTGAATATGCACAACCCCCTCTCCTGAAACCTACAAAAACTGTGTTTCAATGGCATCTCGGGGAGTTAAGATCTGGGTACTAACTACCCCTAACTCCTTGCACTGCTGCTTTGCAATAAGTAATTTTCTCTCCTCTCAATCTCGGTGTGTAAACTGTTTTGGCCTGACTGCCCACAGGCAGGGACCCGTGTTTGGTCTGATAACACCATAACAAATTTATTGTGGTTATTATATAGTTGTTAAGATCTTAAGTGAAGATGCCAAAGATAAATATTCAGAAACTTTAGCATACTTATTTCTGAACAGGCTAGAGATTCAAGTATTATTATTTAATAAGCGCCAACTTCAATAGGGGCAGGACAATCTCATCACAATTAAAAATGAGACTGTAAGTACAATCTAATAAGAAAGCATGGGTGGTAAAAAGTTGGCACTCCCACCTTTCTCCATTAGGCAACCATAGTTCAGTTTCACTGATAGAAGAAAGTTGTAATGAATGTTAGAGAGAGCCTGGGAAGGAGCTATTAGACTTCTTTCACACACAGCAAGCTCAGGGTTTCTGAGACCAAGGGCAACTGAGCTCTCCACTGAGCTGCTTAACCTCTCCTGGAAGGGTCTGCAAAAAGAAAGCCGCTGCTCAGACCTCAGCGGTGCTGCCCGGATGTCTGTGGCCCTGCGACGGTGAAAGAGGAAGTAGTCAAGGGGAAAATAAAAACCACAAAAAAAAAATCTTTAAATGCTTATTTATAATACTCAGTGGCCTATTTAAAATGAATCCATTTATGGTAATGAGCCTTTAAATGAGGCCATTTAAAATCGTTACATAGGCTCTGTCTAGCATTAACCACAATACTTAAGATTTCCTCAAGGACAGGACCCGGGCTTCGCAGCATCATTTACTCCTGTGGTTTTCTGGTCGGGTTCTAAGAATCTCAAGGATCCCTGGAGACTTTTCTTGGAGTTTCTTTGGGGAAAATGTGATCGTGGCAGACTGGTTGAATTTGTGCCAGTCTGATCACCTGCTAGCCTCTCTCTAAAACAGGATCCGGTGCTACTAGATAAGGAATATACTGTGATAAGGAAGAGATCCCCAAGAGTTTAACCCCACTCATTCAAGATGTTTCCTTGCTGTCTGATGATATGAGAACCTAAAAAGTCTTTTTCAAAAGAAGGTATCATTGATTTAAGAGAAGGGATTCAAGTGAAGTGATCTTTCAATTATAAGTGTAGTACTGTAAATCCATGTCTCACTCCACTAGTGAGAGCTTCAGAGACCACGTGTGGTGTAAACAGTTCACGACTTTGGCTGCCAACCCAAAGGTTGGGAGTTCAAGTGCCCCAAAGGAACCTGGGAAGAAAAGCCTAGCAATCAACTTCTGAAAAATTATCCATTGAAAACCCTATGGAGCACAGTTCTACTCTGACACATATTGGGTTGCCATGATTCAGAATGAACTCGACAGCAACTATTTTTTTCTTTTTTTTTTTTCAATTCTTCTGTTATGAACATTAAGGTTTCAAAGCCTTGGATTCAGTTTACTCCAAATAACTGTCCATTGTTAAGGCTTTCACCACATTGCTACCTATTAAATGATCACGAACTCTCCCTCAGTGTTGTTGTTGTTAGGGTGCCATCAAGTCAGCTCTGACTCATAGCAACCCTATGTATAACAAAAGGAAACACTGACTGGTCTGCATGTTCCTCACTATCTTTGCTATGCTCGAGCCCAATGTTGCGGCCTTTTTGTTAATCTATCCCCTTGAGGGCATTCCCCTTTTTCGCTGACCCTCTGCTTTACCAAACATGGTATCTTTTTTCAGGGAATGGTCCCTTCTGACAACATGACCAAAGTAGGTCAGATGAAGTCTGGCCATTCTCACTTCCAAGGAGCATTCCAGCTGCCCTTCTTCTAGGACAGATTTGTTAGTTCTTCTGGCAGTCCATGGTACTTTCAGTATTCTTTGCCAACACCACAACTCAAAAAGCATCAACTCTTCTTCAGTCTTCCTTGTTCATTATCCAGATTTCACATACATATGGGGCAACTGAAAATACCATGCCTTCTTCTAATTTGGACAATTGTTTGTGAATAGAAATGGACTTTGATTAAAAAGTCACTTTAAGTGACAATCATTTTAAGCAAAAGACATTGCCTAATCTTCAAAGAGGAGCTCTGGTAGCATAGTGGCTAAGGCACTTGACTGCTAACCAGAAGGCTGGTGGTTCAAACCCACCAGCCACTCCTCGGAAGGAAGGTTGGGCATTCCTACTTCCGTAGTGATACTGCCTCGGAAACCCAAGGAGGGGTCGCTATGAGTCGGGGCCGACTCGGTGGCAAATAACAACAACAACAATCTTCAAAGACCATGTCTATCTGGGCCCATCTCCACCATCATAGACCTTCTGTTTTAGGGTTCATTAGGGAGTGGTAACAGATCATACTTGTTTCATGGTGATGACACAAAGAATTGAGCACACTAGAAAATGCTGGCTATGATTCATCAACACATTTCAATATTTATCCTATCATTTAACAGCAGAGAAAATTAGGACATAAGGGTAATTATTGAACACAGAGGCAGACTTAGAAGAAAATGTCACAAAAACAGGTGGGTAGGGAGAAAGAATCTCTCTCCTCCAAAGTTCACTATCTACCACCTGTTTTTCAGTCCACCGTACTGTGGTGATTTGTGTGTTGCTATGATGCTGAAAGCTATTTCACCAGTATTTCAAATACCAGCAGGATCACCATGGTGGACAGGTTTCAGCAGAGCTTCCAGACTAAGCCAGTGAAAGTTTATGATCATAACAGAACATTGTCAAAATCTCCTGCTGGAGGAGGACATCATGTTTCGTGAAGTAAAGGGCCAGTGAGAGTGTGTGAGACCCTCAGTGAGACAGATTGGTACAATGGCCACAACAATGGACTTGGGTATGCTGTGATCATGAGGATGCCCACGATTGGTCAACATCTTGTTGTGTTGTACATTAGGTATTATGTTGTTGTTGTTATGTGCCGTCGAATCAGCCCTGACTCATAGTGACCCCTCCTTGGGTTTCTGAGGCAGTGTTGCTATGGAAGTAGATTGCCCAACCTTCCTTCCGAGGAGTGGCTGGTAGGTTTGAACTGCCAGCCTTCTGGTCAGCAGTCAAGTGCCTTAGGCACTATGCTACCAGAGCTCCTAAGGTACCTATGAGTCACGGTTAATAAGAGCTATCCATCTAATGTTCACTATGTATAAACTAGCTGTGCAATTGGTGGACGAAACATAGGAGAGTTTTGCTCACTGTTACTTTTGTCTTGAGTGGGTTTGCTTCACCTTAGAGCCAGGACATAACGGGAACAAAACAGACAGCATGATCCGTGTAGCCATTTTAACACAAAATTTCTGCTTTTCCCCTGAACACAAATCATTTATCTAAAAACATTTAAACTCACCACAAATGATAGACTACTACTGAAATTGCTAATTTTTATTACTGAATTGTGTTTTCATGAGGGAATAATATGAGCCAGCAAATAATTTCTACAAAAAGAGGTCAGAACATGAAAAAGTATTTTTCAATAATTTTGATATTAAAAATAGGTGAGCAACATTACTTGTTTAAAAAAGAAATAAATAGCTACTCTTTCCTTTGAAAGTGTTCCCCAAAATGCCACATAAAATCATTACTTACAGCTCAGACAAGTCAAGGTGACGGAAATGTTTCCTAGACAAACTTGTCAGTTTATTTCGGGTGAAATTGCTGAAAGAAATTAAAAAAAAAAAAAAAACATTAAATGTGGGTTCACAATGTTACATTTCAGGATTAGAGTTTTCAAATAGACTATTTTTCAGAATATAATTTAGTTTATTTTAAATGTCTTTCTTAGATCCAATATTCTCTCACCTGGAATGACAGCTTCATTTTTTCTCTAACCACAGCTTTAATTCTGATTTATGTTGGTGGCAGAAGGACACATTTTACATATTGTCCATTTTTAATCTCTCTTTTACCCCCAAGCTTATTTTCTGTACGCTGATTCAGAACCAAGTTATGTACTTCACTTAGGATGCTAAACTTTGAAATAGTTGATAGGATGGAAACTAAAATGTCATGAACTCAATGAAGAAAAATGATGCTTTATAATTAAAGAGCACTGTGAATATTTTGAAGTCAAGGAGCACATAGAATCCTGTGAAAACTAACTGAATTTAACATGTCCTTATAGGAAAGAACATGCCTATTGATTGATAGATTCTGCTGTGATTGTTTGTATATGACTTCTAGATAGCTGGGTAATTCCATGTTGAGAGGGAAAAAAAAATACAGATAACCAAGAATACATCTATTTTTATCATGAACTATTATAGCAACATAATATATCTTAAGATCTGAACCAACCAGACAATGAAAAGATGAATTATATTTATGACTTTTTTAAAAAAATAAATTAATTTACAGACATGTTCCAAATTTGCAGTTTTATTCAATGGATGAGAATTTCCAAAGACCAATGTGACAGGATCTAAAACCAGTTGCAATTGGGTAGACTCCAACTCATTGTTACCCCATAGTGACACTCATGGTGTCAGAGAACCGCAGTGCTCCAAAGGGTTTTCAATGGCTGGTTTTTCAAAAGATCACCAGGCATTTTTCCAAGGCACCTCTGGATGGACTCAAACCTCCAACTTTTCAGTTAGCAGCTGAGCACACTAAACATTTGCACCACCCAGGGACCCAGGGTTGGGAAATTAAGAGCCATAAGCCTGGCAACTGACTCACTCTGTGAATTTGTTTACTCTTTCAATTTATTTAAAAAGTGCCCAGGGCTTCAGCCTCTAGGCATGTGTTTAATAATCAGCAACAAAGATGTAAAATAAACATCAACTTTTATTAAAATAGCCAGGACCCCAGCAAACAAGGGAAAACCAATGAGTGTATCACTGTTTCCTGCTCAGGAAAAGGAATATTGAGCTGAGAGTTAGATAATACCAAGAGATCTGAGGGTAATGATAATTCTAGCCAATTACCTGAGGCTTAATGTTGCATCAGCTTATTTAAAAAAAAAAAAAAAAGTGAAGGATGCTAGTACATCTGATCAGTTATTTTAGAGAGGAGTTAAAATCTAGAAGTTAACGCACGAACCCACCATTCATTTGTCAGTTTGTCATACTGTGGTGGCTGTGTGCCACTGCGCCATCAATATTTCTAATACCAGAGAGCCACCCATGGTAGACAGGTTTCAGAGGAGATTCCAGACTAAGACAGACTAGGAAAAAAGGCTTGGCAATCTAATTCTGAAAAGTAGCCAATGAAAACCTTATGGATCACAACAGAATACTGTCCAATACAGTGCTAGAAAATGAAGGTTTGGAAGGCATCCAAAACATCCAGTGGCCACACAATAAACTTCAGCATACCAGCAACTGTGAAGATGGTGCAGCATCTCATTGTGTTGTACAATGTTGCCTTGACTTGGAGCTAACTTGATGGCAACTAACAACAACAAATGCATAAGCTAAGGCTAGTCAGTTGATAAAGAAAGAAAATGCCAGCTTTAGCACGTCATAATTCAAGAATGTGTATGTCCACTTCCGGCTTCATTCTATATTGAACTTTTTTTCCCACTCATCCAAACCCCTACCCACACAAGAGTACCATCCTTCCTTCCACGCTTTCATCTTCTCTGTTCATATTGATTGTAAAGTGCTCACCCACATGAAAAAATAATCCACCAGGAAGTTGTAAAATGTGCCCACATACTTCTTTTCTTTTGGAACGTGAATTAAGAATGGGTTGCACTGGAGTTTAGTAAATTGAGAAGTCAGTGTCAGTCTTTGGAGCACAGATGTTTTCATTTTCATCAGAACTTCCCATCTTTCTGGGGGGGAAAAAAGCCTCTTTTCCCTCCCCAAGAAGAAGGAAGAGAAGGGAGGCAAAAAAAAGAAGAAGAAACTTATTTTAAAGGTTCCCCTATCAGCTCACACACTGCTGGCCCTCAGCGCAGCTGCCTCTGTCAAGCTGCCAGCAGCCAGCACAGAGCAGGGTTACGGGCCAAAGAACAAGATGAGTCTTATGAACCATACTTATTATTGGGGCCAACAGCCAAGAAAGGGGAAGGGAGGAAAAAAATCAACAATCCTCTTACTGTTTCATTATAGAACCTTGCTAAGGAGCTAATGAGCACCTCTGCAAAGTCCCTAGAAAAAGCAAGCAGTGCCTTTACTCACAGTAGCTGGTTCTTAGGGACTGGGCACCAAGAAATAAATTCAGTGACCAGTCACAGGGCTCTGGAGAGCCACTGTGAGGTGCTAAATATGGACAGGGCAGGGGGAAGTATGGAGTCATTAGGGTGGTACAAACAGTTAACATGCTCAGCTGCTGACCAAAGAGTTGGAGGTTCAAGTCCACCTAGAGGCATTTCAGAAGAAAGGTCTAGCAATCTAGTCTGGAAAATCAGCAATTGAAAACACTATGAAGCACAGTCCTACCATAACACATATGGAGTTGCCATGAGAGGGAATCACCTCACAGGCCCCTGGTCCTGGTGAGGGGTAGAATGCTGAGAGAGTTTCACTGCAATTTCCCTAACACTCAGTGTGAAATAGAATGTTCTCTGGCACACCCTTATATTGTTGGGGAAACTCAGAGAGATAATCAGACTATCCCAAGGACAGGGAAAAATGGCTTCCATACACACTTCTTGGTCAGCTCCTTGCACTCCTCATTGTTGATATTTGAGGTAAGAGCACAATTAACAGGTGGGCAATCAGGGACAACCAAGCCATTCCCTGGAGTCCTCACTCATCATCAGAACTTCAGACCAAGACCAGGAAAGGCAGAAAAATAACTTGATTCCTTCCTCCCTCCCTGCCAAAGCAAATAACGTGGTTTAATTTCATATTTGTGCAATTACAAGCTTTCCCATCATATGAAGCTTAGTGACATTTTACTACTACTTTGCAACTGTCTGAATTTTTCCTGATTTCATTTTATCTTACTATTTAATAATATCGGAAGGAAGGTTGGGCAATCCTACTTCCGTAGTGATACTGCCTCGGAAACCCAAGGAGGGGTCGCTATGAGTCGGGGCCGACTCGACGGCACATAACAACAACAACAACAACATTTAATAATAAGTGTAATAAGATATCAAGTTCAAGTCCATAAAAAGCTGCCACAAAAGAAAGGCCTGACAATTTACTTCTGAAAAATCAGCACTGAAGACACATTTCCACTCTGCTGCACATGGGGTCACCATGAGTCGGAACTGACTTAACTGCAACTGGTTTAGCTTCTTGGTATGATAAATATCAATAGATTTTATGTATTTCAATTAATGATTGGCTATAAAGCCTTGTAAGGAAACTATGTACAATGCATCCATCTCTTTCTTTTTTCTCCCTACTTTGAAATAAGTCTTTGGGACACAGAGGCAGAGATTTGGCTATATGAAAGTTGTGTATAGCTACAAAATCCATTGCCATCAAGTTCATTCCAACTCATACAGACCCTACTGGACAAGCAGAACTGCTTCATAGGGTTCCCAATGCTGTAAATCTTCACAGAAACTAATCATCACATCTCTCTCCTACAGAGCAGCTGGTGAGTTTAAAACATCAACCTTTCTGTTAGTAGCTGGGCACTTAACTATTGTGCCACCAGCCATAGAATGCTATTAAAATTATTCCACCATAGATTGCCATGAAAAAATGCAAAAGGTGGATTTATTATTCATATAAATATTATATCACAAGAAAAATGGAAAAAAATATAAGAAATAAAGTAAAATAGTAAGTCTCTTAATAAACCTACAGTTAACCACAGTCCACCGTAAAAATCACAACATTAGAAAAATGGTGTGGTAAAATACCCAACAAAATGTGGCTGTTGAGCAATCTAGGTCTAAGGTCAGCTGTAATGAAAATACCAGAACTTAGCCATTGAGGTCATTAATTACATTTAGTGATTGTATTAAAGCATTTTGCCTTTTACTTCTGTCCAACTTCTCTTTTGTTTATGCTATCAAAGCCTACGCAGACTTCAGATTTGTGCAGGCAAACCAACTATAGAGATGATGCCAAAAGCATTTAAATGAAATGTGTTAATAAAGTTCCTTGTAATTTTATCACATTTTTTTCCAAATGGTTTTATATCTTAATTCAACAGACTATTTTTAAAGTGACTTCAACTTCAGTATCACTTGCAAAATATGAAGTCATGATATTCAAAAAACCAAATCCACTGCCATCAAGTCGATTCTGACTCAGAGTGACCTATAGGACACAGTGGAATTGCCCCATAGGGTTCCCAACACTGTAAATCTTTCTCCCATGGAGCAGCTGGTGGGTTTGAACCACCAACCTTTTGGTTAGCAGCCAAATGCTTTAACCACTACACCACCAGAGCTCCTTGTCATGATATTGGCTTTGTGAGATTAAGGTTTCCCATGATAACAATAAAGCTCTGTACAATGTCCAGCAAATCTACTTTAGGAGATGGAAGTCAATTGAGGCACTCCTGTCCCCAAGAAAAGAAAGAAGATAAATACTGATTGATTATATGGACTAATTGTCGAATTATAATGTTTATATTCTATACTTTTACTCTAACGAGTTCTGGAGGCATAGTGGGTTAGGCATTTGGCTGCTAACCAGAACATCAGCAGCTCAAACCTACCAGATGCTCCATGGGAGGAAGCTTAGGCAATCTACTTCCATAAAGATTTAGAGCCTCAGAAACCAATGGGGGTCACTATGAGTTGGAATCAACTCGACAGCAGTATTTTTTTTTTTTTTTTAATATAGTTTTATTCTAAGAACATGGCCAAGGAGTGAGCTCTGGAATCATAATTCTGCCATCTATAAACCTGAGTAAGTCTTAAGGACTTTGTAGTCATTTCAATATCTATAAAATGAGTATTAAAAAAAGATCCCTGGCATACATTAAACTGTGTCCCCTCAAATACGTGTCAACTTGGCTAGACCATGATTCTCAGTATTATGTAATTATCCATTTTGTAATCTGGTATAATTATCCTATGTGTTGTAAACCTTAACCTCTATGATGTTAATGAGGCAGGGCTAGAGGCAGTTATGTTAATGAGGCATCATATAATCTACAGGATTAAGTTGTATTTTGAGTCAATCTCTTTTGAGATATAAAAAAGATTAAACAAGCAAGCAGAGATGAAGGGACCTGACTACCTCCAAGAAAGAAGAGCTGAGAGCAGAGTAAGTCCTTTGGATAAAGGTTCCTGTGCTGAGAACCTCCTAGACCCAGGGGAAGACTGATGCCAAGACACATGCAGATCTCCAAGGAGGCAACATTCACAGATATTGAAAGGAGACAAGGACCTTCCTCCAGAGCCAACAGCAAGTGAAAGCCTTCCCCTAGAGCCAGTGTTCTGAATTCAGACTTCTAGCCTCCTAAACTGTGAGGGAATACGTTTCCACCTGTGGTATTTCTGATATAGCAACACTAAATAACTAAGACATTACCAACTGTGAAAAAAATCAAGTGCGATAATGCAGGTGAGAAACCAACATGTTAACTGCAGACTAGGAGACATATAAAGCATATTTGCGAAGGGAATTGGCAAAAAGGCCAATGCATGCAGGTACCTAGGTGACACAAACAGTTAAGCACTCAACTACTAGCCAAAACGTTGGTGGGCCAAGTCCATTCACAGGTACCTCCGAAGACAAGCTGGCAATCTCCTTCAGAAAGGTCACAGCCTTAAATATTCTATGAAGAAGTTCTACTCTACACACATGGGATCATCATGAGTCGGAATCAACTCAACAGCAACTAACAACAACAGCAACAATTCTCTTGCAGAAACATACACTAAAAATCCAGTAGGAGGACACCAACCTGACCTTAGAGGAATATAAACTTTCTTCACTCAAGAAGATAAAGAAATCTTTTTATCTTTATGTTTAATAAAGGAATCTCTCAGGAAGGCTACACCTTATTGGCTAAGTGCCATCATCTAATAAGATTTAGCAACAAAAACCTAAAAGCTCCCATTTTCCCTATTTCCATTTGACTTTGGTTAACAGCATGTCAACATGACTTAGGGGAAGCATTTCATATTATTAACAATTGTCTTCATGTTTAGCATGCCCTGTAGTTGCTTCTTCTCTACTGTTACCAATCCATGATATATAGCTTTGGGAAAATTAAGGGTCAAAGGGGGTCTATTATAGGCGTAAGCCAAGCCAACTCAGTTTCTTTCAACTCCACTAGTTTGATGTTGTCCAGGGAACATGTCATGATTCCAAGGGAAAGAATCAAAGACATTGCAGCAGGGCAGAGTTTCACATCAGACTCCGTGCAACTGGCCTTTTGCTCTGTCCAAGATGGAAATGGCCCAGAAATCCATGAAAGAGAATAAACAGGCTGTTCTAAGTATCCCTCTGAAACTGTTCAGAAATCTAACAAAATCAAAGCTAATGTTTCTTAGCTTTTATCACAGCTATACTAACTTTTTAAAGGGGGGATTTAAACTTGATAGAGTAGGAAAATAAGCAAAGGAAAGAAACATATTGAATAAACTGGTCCTGGGAAGCAAAAGAATCAGCTTTTACTCACATATGCTGTAGGTTGCTGTTTTTCAGAAATGCTTTATGAGCCACAAATTTTAATCCAGAATCCACAATGGTCCTATGAAAACACATAGTTGCATGCATATTAGAACTAATCAGTGATGCCCGCACCTGACCATAATAGAGAATAAGAAAAACCTCTGAGGTTAAGGATGTAAGTACTGAGTACTCACAGATTTTTCAGTCCCACGTAAGCTTCAACATCATCTTCATTGATGATTTCTAACCTTTTCTGATTTGCTATGTAACTGAAAAAAAAAAAAAATCAGAGTGAAATCCAATGACTCAGAAAGTAGGTAATAACATGGCAGAATGGGTCACTTCCACCCAACCTCATCACAGTGCCCAAGGTGATCAACCCCACATCCACCCTGGCCCCACCATGGTTGTTGGTTTTTGTTTTTGTTTTTTAATACATTAAGGGGAGCAAAATTGAGTGTGATTGAGAAGAAACGATAATTGACCAGAGAAACAGGTTTACCAGGCTTCTTATTTTTTCCTGATTTTTTACCACTCTTTCAACTAACAATTTAGTCTGCCTCCCCTTTCAAGGTATCACCTGTGTACAGAGGTGAAAATAATTTGAAAATACATCTACTGCCTCTCAAAAGGTGTTTCACTCATATTGTGACAGACACACAAATACTGATGTCATCACTACACAAGAAAAATCACATCTTTCCTCACATTCCAAGATAACAAATCACTTCTTCCTTTGACATCACATAGCACTGAAGTGGATTTCCTTTCTTCTTTCTTTCTCTCCCTCCTCTCTTTTATCTTGGCTCAGCATCACCTCCTATGTCTTCATCAAATAATACCAATTATTCCTTTAAAGAACCACATTCCACAAACCCCCAGTGCCCTAGTGCATTGTGTATAAGATGTACCTCTTCTTCTCAACCCTTCCCCAGTCCTTCAAATATGAGTGTACTAGTGACTTTGGAAAGAACTGAAGAAAAACTTCAAGCCTCAAGTTGCAATATTGAGAGATTCTATGGGTAAAATATTGAGTGATGCAGGAAACATCAAGAGAAGATGACAGGAATACACAGAGTCACTGTACCAAAAAGAACTGATCGATCTTCATCCATTTCAGGAAGTGGCATATGATCTAGAACCAATGGTAATGAAGGAAGAAGTCAAAACTGCAATGAAAGAACTGGCGAAGAACAAGGCTCCGGGAATTGATGGCATACCGATTGAGATATTTCAACAAACAGATGCCCCATTGGAGGCACTCACTCAGTTATGCCAAGAGATTTGGAAGACAGTTACCTGGCCAACTGACTGGAAGAGATCCATATTTGTGCCCATTCCAAAGAAAGGTGATCCCACAGAATGTGGAAATTATAGAATAATATCATTAATATCGCACACAAGTATGATCTTACTGAAGATAATTCAGAAATGTTTGCAGCAGTATATTGACAGAGAACTTCCAGAGGTTCAAGCCGGATTCAGAAGAGGACGTGGAACAAGGGATATCATAGCTGTTGTCAGATGGATCTTGGCTCAAGGCAAAGAATACCAGAAAGATGTTTACTTGTGTTTTATTGACTATACAAAGGCATTTGATTGTGTGGATCATGACAAATTATGGATAACATTGAAAAGAATGGGAATTCCTGAGCACTTGATTGTACTCATGAGGAATCTGTACCTTGACCAGGAGGCTGTCGTTTGAACAGAACAAGGGGACACTACATGGTTTAAAATCAAGAAGGGAGTGCATCAGGGTTGTATCCTTTCTCCACACTTATTCAATCTATATGCTGAGCAAATAATCTGAGAAGCTGGACTATATGAAGAAAAACGTGGTATCAGGATTGGAGGAAGAATCATTAACAACCTGAGGTATGCAGATGATACAACTTTGCTTGCTGAAAGTGAGGATGACTTAAGGCACCTACTGATGAAGGTTGAAGAATACAGTCTGCAGTATGGATTACGTCTCAATATAAAGAAAACAAAAATCCTCACAACTGGACCAATGAGCAGCATCACAATCAATGGAGAGAAGATTGAGGTTGTCAAAGAATTCATGTTGCTTGGTTCTACAATCGATGCCAACGGAAGGAGCTGTCAGGACATTAGACTACGTGTAGCATTGGGAAAGTCAACTGCAAAGGAACTGTATCAAGTGCTGAGGAGCAAGGATATCTCCTTGAGGACTAAGGTGTGCCTGACACAAGCCATGATATTTCCAATCGCCTGGTATGCATGTGAGGGCTGGACAATGAATAAGAAGACCGAAGAAGAGTTGATGCTTTTGAGTTGTGGTGCTGGTGAAGAATGCTGAAAGTACCGTGGACTGCTAAAAGAACTAACAGATCTGTCCTGGAGGAAGTGCAGCCAGAATGCTCCTTGGAAGCAAGAAAGGCCAGACTTCGTCTCACCTATTTTGGTCATGTTGTCAGAAGGGACCATTCCCTGGAGAAGGATGTCATGCTTGGTAGGGAGGAGGGTCGACGAAAGAGGGGGAGGCCTTCAACGAGATGGATTGACATGGTGGCTGCGATGATGGGCTCAGGCATAGCAGGGATTGTGGGGCTGGTGCGGGATCGGGCAGTGTTTTGTTCTGCTATGCATGGGGTCGCTATGAGTCGGAAATGACTCGACGGCACTTAAGAACAACAACAACAGTGACTTTGGCTGGACAGAGAACTCCATCCCTGTGGCCATGATGACTGGCTTTGAGATGAGCATGTAACCTGAGATATAACAATGAGAATCTTCCTTATCATTAAGCATTGGATGCTGGGAGAGAGCAGGCTCTCCCCTTTACTGGGATCATAATCAAAGGATGGCATAGGCCTAAGGCTGTTCACAAATGAAGACAAAAGGAAAGAGAGCTAAGAAATGCAGAGAGACAGAACTTGAAAATGCCACTCAAGCCCTTATGTGCAGCTAACTCTGAGGCTAAATGCCACTAACTTAAACTACTTTGTTCTGGGTTTATGTCACTTCCAAACAATAAAATTTCTAGAAATACAAACTCAATGCTATTGAAAGGATCTTCACAGTTACTTTAATTAGTAAAGTATGTCTGCTTTGAGCAGTGTGCTTTTATAAAAAATTATCTGTATGAGATCAAATTGACAACACTAACTGGAAAGGTTGGATGGGAAGCTTAGAGGGCAGTTAGTTTAAGACAATTGTGCTATAATAATTTGGAAAAGGATAGCAAGAACGGTATAACAACTTGAAGAATGGAATTACTGTCACTGAATTGAACGTATAGATTGTTGAAATGGTGTATTTTTGCCTGTGCATACTTTCACCAAAAATAAATAAATAAATAAACTACCATTACATTATGGAATTTCTTATACTTATTTATTCAGTTTTCTTAGATCATAACCTCTCTGAGGATAGTTAGACAGTGTTTTGTAATTCCAAGTATGCACCACAGCACCTAAAACAGTGCCTTGCATAAAGTAATTATTCAAAAGATGGATGGATGGATAGGTGGGCAGATGGGTGGATGGATGGCCAGACAACACTTAAGAGTCTACAGAAAGTTGTGCCAGTATTAATTTTTTCCTTTCTTTTTGAAAGAAATTAAGATATTAACATATTTATGAGTCACAAGTTTTAATCCAGAACCCACAATGATCTCTGAAAACCTAAAACTGTATGTATATTCTAACTAGCCAGTGATGCTTATCTGATCATCATATAACATTAAGAAACCTCTGAAACAATATACATAAGTCTTGAGTACCCACAGATTTTTCACATTCTTATGTTGTTATTGTTGTGATGTGCCCTGGAGTCAGACATGACTCATAGTGACCCTTGGGTTTCCGAGGCAATATCACTACAGAAGTAGATTGCCCCATCTTCCTTCCGAGGATTCTTATACACAACATATATCATATATATTATTATAATTAACATATTAAGACAATAAAAGCAAATATGTACTCCTGATGTTACCAACATGAGCTGAAATGAAATAACTATTAATCACTTGGGTAGAAGATAAAGCATCTATAGGACCCTTCAACCCAGTTTAAAAGTTAAAAAAAAAAAAAAATGATGACAAGTTATATAGGAGAAGGACTTGGGCACAACTTTTTTTAAGAAACCAATTTTTAAAATGAAATAACTAAATGCTCTAAACCAAAAAACCAAACCCACTGCCATCGAGTCAATTCCAACCAACAGTGACTCATAGGGTTTCCAAGGCTGTAAATCTATACAAAAGTAGATTGCCTCATCTTCTTCCCACAGAGCAGCTAGTGGATTTGAACCACCAACCTCTTTGTCAGCAGCCAAATGCCTTCCTTAACCAGTGTACCACCAGAGTTCTTAATTCTCTAAGGAAACAAAATAAGCCAAAGAGAAATCATTTAAGAGGGATCCACATAAACAGTGTTGCCTGTTACATGTGAAAGCCATCTCCAAGATAGAAGCTGTCTTCCTCTGACACAGCCCCATCGCCCTGTCTCCCAGGCTGGGCCTCAGTAGACATGCAGGATTTGTTTCCTTCTCTCCTTCCACCTCACACGGAAAAGGAAACATTTTAAGACCTGACCCAATGCTTGCAAACAATTTTCAACAGTATTTTATGAAATGTTCCCAAATTATCCCACTTTAAATACATTTTTCCAAGATAGTTATCTACTAACATTTACAATGGAGACCACAGTGACCTCACCTTTCTAAATGATCTCACAAAAGAGCTGCCTTCCAGAGAACCCTAAATCTTAATGTGTTTTCCATGCAACTGGTAGCAAAAAGGGTAGATAATGTGGGCAAGGTGGACTTTGGGCTTATAGTCAGGGCTTCCAGGCGAGCCTGTCCACTCATTATGGATGCATTAACATAGTGGCTGTCATTGCTTCAAAGTCTGCTGAGAGTTCTTCAGCTCCCTGTGGTGCACCTGGGTCATTCTTGTCACTCCATGTGTAGGAAAAGGGCCTGACACTCAATAAGTACTTAATCAATATCTGTGATTCCAATACTTGTTTTTAACTTTTAGTTATTTATGCCCTTGATTTTATTTTTCTTTAATTTTCATCATGCATTTAATTTATTTTCACCCCAGATGATTCTATAAAACATAATGAATTAACATAAATAACAATGGAGCCATACAGGAATGAAAAATAAGGATAGACATCATTGAAGCTAAGAATTAGGTTTAAAATGCATATTTTAATGGGTAGTGCAAACAGTTAATGGCACCAGGCTGCTATCTCAGTGGTCGGAGGTGTGAGTCCACCCACAGGGACCTCAG